ATTGAATGGATTCCTTTTGATAAACTAGATAAGATTGAAAATATTGGTGAAGAAGGATTTGGTTCTGTATTTTCAGCATTCTGATTGGATGGCATACAAAAAATTGATGGTAATTGAAGAGTGCGGGAACTTGGAATTGTTGTACTAAAGTCCTTGCCTGGTTCTAATGAAAACTCTCTCTGCTGATCACTTCAGATGAATTCTATCAACCAATCAGATCGCTAGAATCAACTATACACACTATATGTATAAATGTGACATATATTTACAGCATTTTGCTGTAATTTAATAATTACCTCTGAGTATTACCTGGTTATATCTACTCGGGTATTATCTGGTTAAATCTACTCGAGTAGCCATAATCACTACCCAGATATCTGATTACCCGCAGATAACCTGAGTAATACCCGACCCGAGTACAAACACTAAATCTAAAAGAGATAGAATAAAGATGCTTTTATCTGAGTATATAGAAGATATAATTATAATTAATAAAGATCGTAATATATAATCTTGAAAAGAAGCAATATAGAAGCTGGCAGAAAACTTGACTACTGCATTTCAATTGTCTAATCCAACTGATCATGAACTATTTAAAAATACTAAAGAAATAAATGAAATAGGTTTTCTTCATATTTCAACATGTTATATACAAGGTATAAAGAGATTAAATTCTATCTATCATCAGAAAATTTTAAAAATTGAAGAACAGATTGTTAAAAGTTGAAGGGAACATGATGTGAACACATATAAGTTGTCAAGTTTATTAAGTAATACAGATAAAAAAAAAAAAAAGATATTAATGTTAATGATAGTAATAGTAAAACTATTATTGATAATAATGAAAAGACTTCACCAACAAAACAAATACACAGATCAACAAGTAGTAAGGCAAAAGAGATTCTTTCTCAATTGCTTACATACAAGTCTTTTGCTAAAAATGATCAATTATTATATAAAGTTCTTCACGAACTTCAAAACACAGAATTAGGTTGGGATAAAGAACATGTTATAACATATTAGTGAAACTATCACAATAAATAAAGGTCTATTTCTAGTTGACACTTTAGTTATAATGACTCTAAATTTGTAAATATCTGATTCTTTCATAAACAATTTATTTTGTAAAGTTTCTAAAACAACATAAGGCAAAACATCATAAATATTACCTCTTAACATTTTTTTTATCACAATAAAAATCTGAATAAGTATACTCTTTATATAAATTAAAAGTAATCTGACTATAATATTACCAAATATCTCAATTTGGTCTGCTATATAATATTTCAAAAATTCTTTTTTAAAATTTTCTATTAGGACTTCCTTTTTTCAGCATATTGAATCACTATTATATATTCATTTTCATGCTCTAAACCAATTTATATATCTTAAGATTAATACTAGAAAATCACAACCTACAGAACTAAATCCTTCTACTTAATGAAATTTACTCAATTATATTATCATATTTATTAATATAAATTATATCATCAGTATTACCTGAGGTTATGAATAAAAATACACAATCAAGTCTCAATATCTCAATAAATAAATTGATTCAACTCTATTTTATGATAATTTGTATAATTTATACGTAAATAAATAATTTGTTATGAAAATGTCTTTTTTTTACATATAGATGCATATAATTGTATCTAAATTCGTAATGTACATGCCTTTCTTTTCTATAATTGTTAAAAGCAATAAAATACGTGATATAATATAATAATTTTACAAATTTTAAATGAATATATTCAATTAATGCTAATGTAAAAATAATTAATAGTAATAAAAATATGAATAAAGAGTATATAAAATTGAATATGTAACAAAATTAACGAGAATACAGTAAGATTTGTAAGATTCTGCTTTAGCGCATACACGCTGTGCGTAAGGTTGTAAATAGACTCTACTCGCATTCACAATATTTTACTTCTAATAAGTAGAATTAAAGAAGTTCCAAATACATGCCAAAAATCAGAAAATATAAAATTAAAATTTTACGTTTTACGACCAATTTTTGATCTTTCAACTGTCGGTTTAATTCAGAAGTGAATTACTGTATTTGTCGATATTTCTATACTCTAACTCTAATACTAATATACTGTATATATTTCTTAAAAAGTTTGTGGTTTAGAGATTTTGACTATATTCCAGATTCCACATACACCATAGAAAGGTTGGTAAACTGAAGAATGGATCTTAAATAACATTTGCACCATTAGTATGAATCATCAAAAAATAGAGTCGTTCGCTATTTTTCTTTGAATAATGTAAACAAGTACTCCAACTATTACTGAAACTATGATACTAATGATAATATTGCAAATGATTCTACAGGTACTTGTAGAATTATTTCCTGTATAATTTGTCATTTGCTCAGTATAAGAAGTAGCAGGTACATGTGAGCTTTGTTGGCGTACATGCAGAGGCAGTGGTGGACTTAATGGGCTCTGTTGAGATATACGTAGGGGCAGTGGATTTTCTACAGATCGGACATGGTAATCAGTGACGATTCTACCATTTTGATGTTCATTTCGTTGATAAAAATAATCGATTGTTCCTCTCTCACTTTCATCGTGCCGGTAATAAGTTTGGGTATTTGGTTTATTGTAATTAGAAAGTGACATCTAAATGATATAAAAAAAAGAAACTAGTCAAAGTGGCTCAATTTATGCATTAAAAAATTTTTTTACACAAAATGCATTGCTTATGTCTATCCGGACTATTAGTTCCTATGTACACGTAAATAAGTGTAAAAATGGACGTTAATTATCCGTATTATTTTAACAAGTATGTTGCTATATTTGGATATAATAAGAATTTTTTTACAAAGCATAACGATAATAATTATTCTTAATTAGGATTCTTTCTTAAACCCGATATAAAAAAAGAATTTAATTATATGTACAATATATTTTTTGCAAATTTGGTCTTGTGTGAAGAATGGTACAGCTAAATAAAGTGCTCGGAGATCAATTTTTAGTGGAAAATAATTTAGCCGATCATGTAAGTTCTTTTTTTTTTCTTTTTTTTCTTTTTTATTTTATAGAGTTGCAAAAATTGTTATAAGAATTATTTCGGTAATGCACAATCTCGATCATTATCCAATCACATTGAGTGAATTGCTTTAAGTAATCTCAATGCAATGTATGCGCGCCTTATAACTGATCATTACTATTTGTATCACAATGGACAAATAGCATATAGAAAAGGAAAAATTAAAAGAATTTTTAAATACTTTAAGCAAAAAAAAAAAAAACAAAATAAAATAAACTTTTTCCTGTAAATTTATAAAAACACTCGAAAAAAAAAAAAAAAAATTCTAACGATTAAAACTCAATTTTAATTAATATTAAAATGTCAACTAATAACATGTCAAAAGAAACTGAGGTTCCAACCCTAACTTCAGGAATGCTCAATATAGGACTCTCAATCGTTGGCTCATTATCAGCTTTAAATCCTATTATTAGTTCTATTTATGAAATTTTAAGCGCAATAATCCAAATTGATGATAAAGCTCAATATAATAAAAAAATATCAAAATCTATTTTAGGTCGTGTATTAACTGCCGAAGCAGCTATAAAATTTCTATTAGTTCAAAAAGATGAATATGAAGTTAAATTTGCTGATTTAAAATTTCAAGAATCATTGGTCACTTTTAAAAATATTTTAGATAAAATAAAAGATTTTGCTGAACAAGTGACTCAATTAAGAGGAATTGAAAGGTTGATTAATGCTCAAGCTATAGAAAAGAATTATAAAGATTTAATGGAAGAGTATGAAGCTTGTTTAAATAATTTACAGTTTACAATGATCGTTCTTACTGATGAACAAAGAAGACTTGATAGTGAATGTTTAAAAAGTGATATTGCTGATACAAAAAAGGTATTATAAATTTATATAATAATCTTGTATGTTTTTTTTAACTACAAATCATTCAATTATTTTTTTTTTTAAAAAAATATATAGTTTATGGAAGGTTTTGCTAATTATCATAAAGAGCAAACGAATATTATTTATCAAGAAATTAAGTGTATCAAAAATAAACTTCTTTATTCTGATGATTCATCAACATCAATTGATGTACGAACAATTGAAACAAATTTATTAAAAGAACCACCACATGGTAGTCCTGATGATCGTCGTGGAAACTCAAAACAAATAGTTAAAATGGTTTATAGAGATGCTATAGATGTAGCATGTAAACCAATAAATGATAAAACTAAACATAATAGAATGAAATTAACTGAATTAAATGGAAAATTAGCAATTCAAAGAAAATTATTTGATTGTCCAAATATTTTAAAATTTTATGGTCTTTCAATTTTAGAAACTAATGATGTTATGATTTTTGAATGGGCTGAAAAAGGAAATTTAAAAGAATTATATGAACGTAAAGATGAAAAACTTACATGGCCATTAAAAGCTCAAATAGCTTTTGGAATTTGTAAAGGTATCGCTTTTATAAATTCGGTTGGTATTTTTCATCATGATGTTCGATGTCAAAATGTAATGGTAAGTAATTTATTAATTAATTTATATTAATTATCTAATTTACTGCATCATAATTCGTTAAATGTAATAATGTTTTTTTTTTCTAAAAAAAGATTACAGCTCATGATGAACCAAAACTTACAAATTTTGATTTGTCAAGGCAACAAAATTCCAAGATTAGTTCAGAGATTACAGATATTATAAATATGATATACTGGTTAGCTCCCGAGAAAATGTATGAACACACCACCACTAATAATAAAGAAAAGTTTAAATCATACACACAGAAATGTGAAATTTTTAGGTAATTAAATTATTCTTTATTTTATTTCAAAAAATTTATCTTTTTTTTATAATACTGTATTTATCTCTATAATAAATTGTAGTTTTGGAATGCTAATGTGGGAGTTAGCTGCTCAAAAAGTCCCTTATGAGAATTTTAGTCATATTAGTTTATATGACCTGAATGAAATAATAACTCATGTAACGAGTGGTAATAGAGAAAGTTTTGATAGTTTTGATAATTTCGATGATCTTGATCCTAATAACATCAATAATAAACGTATTAAGGAAGAATTTAAACAATTAATTGAACGAGGTAATTAAGAAAGTTTTAAAATATTTAGAATTCTATTATAATAATAATAATTTTAACTAATTTAATTGTTTGTTTTTTTTTAAAAAAAAGCATGGAAACAAACTCCAGAAGAAAGGATTGGTATTACTGAATTATATTTAAGACTTTCGGAATTATCTTCGATTATTAAAAAGTCACCGTCTCTGGTACCTGCTGACTCTAATAATTACTCAACAAAATCTGAAGACTCAAAAAATAAAATCGGTCAAAATATTATTTTAACAGTAGAAGAAGGAATTAAACTTCATAGGTCTAAGATTTCCAGGAACAGAGAAAAGGCATGGGAATGCTTTGAATACAATGCTAAACTTAAGAGTCCAATTGCTATTTATTGGATAGGATACTATTTATGGGAAGGTTTCTATCCAACTGGTGAAAATAGGTCAGAAGAACAGAAGGGAAAAGATCAAACGAAAGCTCGTGAATTATTTAAAAAAGCTGCTGATGAAGGTGTAACAGATGCACAATTTTGGTATGCCTTTTCATTACCTAGAACTGAGGAGAATAGAGCTGAATTTTTAGAACATTTGAGTAAAGCGGCTGAAAATGGAAATGCTGCAGCGTTATATAGTTTAGGTGATGTTTATTTACATGGGAAAGCACATGTAAAATTGAATAAAAGTAAAGGATTAAGATACTTGGAGTTGGCGGCTGAAAAGGGTCATGTTAAAGCAAAAGATACTCTTAAAAATTTGGATATAGATATGATTAATATTGAATTAGATTTTGAATAATTTTGAATTTTTTTTTTTTTTCTTCTTTTGATATTGCCATATGTTTAAAATTTTTTTATATATTATATATTTTTTTTTGTTTATTTAAAATGTAATTAATGTTATATATATATTTATAATGTAATTACATATAAATTAAAATTTTATAAATTTTTATGATTTTTTATTATATCTGTTTTAAGTGTAAAGGCTAACACATACAAGCTATTCGATACCGAATTAAGAAGTCTTGTTACTCACTAATTAATTCTATACTCAGTTAATTCATTATTATAATCAAGTTTAGTTTACGATTTTTATATTACAATTATAAAGTAAAATTTTAATGGATAGGATTTAGGCGTACTGCCGGTAGTATTTTGTACTATCTCTTAAACCGTTCGGTTTAGCGGGCAAATTTGCCCGCTAAAATAATTGGATAAAATAGAATATAAAAAAAAAATTTTTTTATGGAAATATTTATTACAACCAGCTATGCTGACTCCCAAAAGCTCGAACCACACGTTATACTCAATAGCCGCAGTGTGGCATACTCGAAATTATTCAAAGGGCATAGGTTTACACAATGGCTGTAAAGTGTGCCATTTTACCTGAACTTTTGAGTCACATTATCTTCCTCACATTAGCCCCAAAATCAGTTCTGTAAGGTTGGTCGTGAAGAATTTTCAACCAATTTTAATATCATATTATGAAAGGTATCTTCACGTGATGATCATGAAGATTTTTCGGACGATCTACGGACAGTTCTTAGGGACAGTGCAATGACCAGAATTAGATTTAGGGTTAGGGTTAGAGTAGGTGTATATTGGTAATGTCAGTCACATAGCACTGTCCCTAAGAACTGTCCGTAGATTCACTGAAAATTTTTCATAATTGTCACGTGAAGATACCTTTTTTACTATTAAATTTGATCATAAAAACTATAGTACAGTCAACTATATTTAGTTGATTTTAGAAGTAGTGCTAAGGAAGTAAGAATTACATGACATCTGCATATAGTGCATTTTTATTTTAGCTTAGAGAATATAAAAGTGCATCTTAATAAAATTTGAAGCAATTGTATAAAAATTAGTCAAAAAAATTTTAGTGAACAAATTTGCTTATTAAATGGTTTAAAAGATATCTTAACACTATTTAAAGCTAATTATTTACAAATTTAACAAATTAATATGTTATTAAATATTAATATAGAGTATTTTATACATAAAGATATTATATATAAAAAAATTTAATAACTTTAAGCACTTTTTTAAATTTTATATAATTTTTTAAAAATTATTTTTTTTTTAGTTTTTTTAATTAGTAAATTTTATAGAGCTTTCAAATAATAAAGCTGCAGATCTATTTGAAACTAACTACAAATATATTAAAGTGCTTAACTCAAAAAGTTAAAATATTATTTATCTTTTTCTTTCTAAATATTCTCTTTACTAAGTGTTCTATTGAATTAGAAAACCTCTAATCTCTTTCTTATTTCTAAAAAATTCTTCAGAAATTTTATATTAAATCAAGTTCAACCAATTTCTCTTATTAAACTAATCGACCAAATTATAAATTAATACTATATTTTAAGTAATTTAAATTTTACAGTAATCAAAAATTACTCAACATATATACCTATTCAAATTTTACTAAATTCTATAGAATACTACAAGAACAACAACAAAGAAGTATAGATTCTATTTCAGAATATATCTAAAGCTTTTAACAAAATTAATATTAATTATCTTATTAATACTTGTAAAAGAATTAGCATTCTTTAAAATACTCTAAATCTTATAAAATTCCTATACCAAGATAGAAAAGCTAGAGTAATTACTGATTATAAACATACAAATTTTATCTTCCTCTATTCAGGTATCAAACAAGATAAAACATTCTCTTTACTTCTTTAAAAAATCTATTATGATTCTATTTTCAGCTATATCAATTCTAAATATAAATTAAAGTATCTTAAAATTTTATTTAATTCTTTATTTGATCTTATTTTTTTAAACAAATTAATATCTATTACAATCCTACTCCTTACATTTATAGATGATACTATTTGGCATTGTAAATTAAAAGAAAATTTCTAAAAAATTCTTTGAGATATCTTAAATCTTTACTAATTAAACAACATCTAAATAAATTCTCTAAAATAAAATTTCTTTCATATATTCAAACTTAAATCTTCTCAAACCAATAATTCTAACTACTCTTTATTTTTTAAAAATTAACAAATTCTACTTTATAAACTAAATAAAGTTATAAGATACTTAGAAATTTTTCTAAATAGAAATAGCTTATCTAAATCTATAATTAATGTAATTACTAACAAATAAATCAATTCACATACCTTATTAAATTCAAAAAACTTCTTTCAATATATATATTAAGATTATTTAATACTATTCTCTTATCAGCAATTAAATATTTTCTCCAAATCTGCTTTCTATTCTAAAAAAAAATTAATCAACTTTTAAGTACTCTAACTAAAGGTACTAAATATATACTATACTTATCAACAAATACAAATAATAATATCTTTAACTATTTAATATACTAATACTCAACAAACTACTTCTCTTAACAAATAGCAGCAATATTAACAGATATCTTAACTTAAATAATCTTCTAACTTAAATCATCTTATTCTGTATAAAGAATAGTTAACTAGAGTCTGACAACTAACTTTAACAAAAAAACTATTTTTTCAAATTAAAAAAAATATCAAACTTTACAATTATAAACCAACTAATCTTATTATATAAAAACAATATATTACTCAACAACTTTCCTTTTAATAACTTACAAAACCAAAACCAAATACACTAACTTAGATCCAGTGATCTAGTGTAGTAGATAGGTTGTTGGACCGCCATGCAATAGGTTTGGAGTTCAAATCCTTCTGTCGATACTTTGAATAATTACTCAAACCTTATATCTAACTTATAGTAAACTCTGTCCATTTCTGAAGTTGTAACCCTGTAAATCACATTGCATCAATATTGTCTGAATATTGGAAGTGTGATAGAATGTTTGAGTTGCATTACATGAATAAATCGAGATAGGATCTATAGGCAGAGGACCTGCATAGTAGAAATCCCAAGTTAGGTGAAGTAGTATAAATTTTAACAGTTACACTAGTTAATGCTTGATTTAGCAAAGATTTCTGAATATGAAGATATAGATCGAGTAGGTGCGAGTAAGTCTATGACATTGGGTATTACAGCAACACTAACTTGGCTTGGTAACTAACTAAATTGGGATGATCTTCCCCGTAAAACATTTGGAAGGACACAGAAGTCTAAACTAGTGGAGGGCCACGGCTAGAACTAGGTTTGTACAAATATCGAATAAGGGTATATGCAAGCTAGAATAGAGATATAGCATAGCATAGTTGGGTATTATGACATCTATCTGTTAGGGGGTATTGAAGTGGGACTTATTCGGATAAGACCTGAGCCCATAATAGTAAAGTTGTGACTAATGTCAGCTTGGGTGCCTCTTGATATGAAGTAGTATGGGGTTTGGGTTAACTATAAAGAGTAATACTTGTAGTAAGTGGGATAGGACCAAAGAGTTTAAATAGAGAATCTTCCAAGAGATTTCAGATATAGCAGCTAGTATAGAACCTTCGAGCAGACTACTTAAAATAGACAATCTAAAATTGTACATGTGGCTAGTTGTACTCTCACAATATGTATCATTTTCAAAATTTATAAAATTAATAAAAGTTAGCTGATGGCATTTGTATAAAGTAAAAAAAAAAAAAAAAAAAAAAAAAAATACATTAACTTAATTCTATATATAACTTTCTCTCTAATTCTAATATTGCAACAACTCTAAATTTTAAAAATAACTAAATTCTCTTTTTTAAATAATTCTACATAGCAGATAACTAATACTTTCTTCTATAAAAAAATATCTACTTGAGAATTTATAAGTTTCTTTGTAATCTAACTTCTAAATAGTATAATTATTTAGCAAACTAAATATTATCACTACTAATAATTAAAATCTAGCTAAATATAAAACTAAATTTAACAAATCCCTTCTTCAATATATTAAACTTTATTACTTTACAAAATCTAAACAAAAACTACTAATCTCTTTATATCTTCTTTAATAAACTCAAAATTAGAAAAATAACTAACTTCTCAATATACTAAACAATATTTTAAAACTACCAACTTATCTAATCAAATTCAAACTTAATTTATATCTTACTTTTACTCATTTAAATATAAATTAACTATAATTAAATAATTAATATAAAATGTAAAACACAAAAAGAAAAAGAACAATGTAAAATTTTTTTAATAAACAAGAATTACAAGCCTTACAAAAATTTACAATACTCTTATCAACTTTTCAATCTCTATACTCTCAGAAATAACTATTTCTTCATCTAATATTCTTCTAATTTAAAACACAATTACTAATTCAATTTAACAAAACTAACTTATATTCTTCACAATTAAATTCTATTACTAAACTCAGAAA